GTAGATGAAATGGCTAAGTGTGTTAGGTCTAACTCTTGTGTGTGTTGCTCCGCTCACCGGTCCGTCACAGCGGGGCGGAGCTGCAGGATTTCTGCTTCACACACGTTGCATACCGCTATTTTACTGTCTTTTTCGGACACCTTAAAATACAGCCAGACTGGTGAAGCCATTTTGGCGAGCTTGTTTTGCCGCACACAGAGAAAAGTGTCACGTATTTTACGTCATCATTTTACGTCATGCGATCGGCTCTCGCGATCTGCCTTTTTAGAGAGCACCGATCGATCGGCAGAGAGTGAGTATCGGCCGATATCGATCGGAGCATCCCTAATCAATACCGTTGGTTTCGTCATGGGTTGAAATATCTGGCTTTCAAAATCTAACTCTTTTCTGTTTTGGACGTAAAACCTCCAGGACCTGAGATTTTCCGGACGGGGACAACTGAAAGCTTATCTGAACATGTTCTCATCACTATGTAAGACTCACACTTCTATTATATTCTAAAGAGAAACAACTCGTACGTTTTGTCTACTATGATATCTGAAAAAGACATTCCTCACATGCTGCTTAAAAGATTTGTGAAACAATGACCTGATTATAAACAAAGTGGCTGAATTATCAATTTATCTTTTTACTTTCACACCAATGATGAGTATTCACTTTGATGTGCGCCACAAGAAAAAGCTAAGGTTTGTCATCTTAAGTTGGAAGCCATGATTTTAGAGGTATCTGGCTTTTGTGTTGTTTTCTGATATTGTTTGTGACGTTAATTAATTGATCTGTACTGTAAAAGCTTATCCTGCTTTTATCAGTTAAACTTGTGTCTGGTTGGAGTCCCTGCAGAATATCTGAAGTGGAAGCCCCAAATGCAGCAGGACCTCTCCAGTCAATCTTTCTTTATTAAATGAGCTGAATTCTGCCCAGAACTGCAGGATGCTTTTTGGATAACAACGTTTACAGTTTGATGAATGCCATGACCAATCGTGAGCAAACATTCCCCGGCTGTGCCGCCTCTGATTGGAAGCAGTTTTTTGCAAAAAGCCACTGGCTTGTGAAACGAGCCTCTTCCCTCATTAGTCTGAGGGATTTTCACTTCACACGGGACACGACAGTGATGCAAGATGATAGTAAGAGTGTCATAACGGGGTCATAAATGATCTTAAGGGGAAAAACCCAACCAGAAAACATGTCCTCCTCCGTGATAACACCTTATGTCAAGAACAGGGAGGGGAGGGTCACTTTAGAAATGATGATTGCTTATTAACTGTAAAAAATGTAATCATATCTAAGCATCACAATATAAAAACAATGTTACCTGTTTCAATCAATCAATGTTTATTTATATAGCCCAATATCACAAATGTTACATTTGTCTCAGTGGACTTCACAGTTTGTACAGAATATCAGTATGACAATACGACACCCTCTGTCCTTAGACCCTCACATCGTACAAGGAAACACTTCCAGAGAAAGAATGATTGTATCCCTTTGGTTTTGGATTATCAATATCCGCATGTAGATGGTGGAATGAGCTCCCCATTGACATCAGCACAGCAGAAAGCTTACACATCTTCCGGCGCAGACTGAAAACTCATCTCTTTCGACTCCACTATGAGCAATACAATTAAAAACAAAACAACAAAATAAAAAGCACTTGTATACTAACTAAGCAGTTATATACTAACAAAGAACTTATATACTAATAAAGGACTGGCTTATCTAAAGCCAGTTGAGTAGCCTCAGGGTTTCCCACACATAGATTATACTTGGGCGGGCCGCCCAGGTATATTAACGGCCGCCCAAGTATATTTCGCGACCCATTTTTATTTATATATTTTTTTTAAATTCGTTTGTGACCACTGCGATCGATTAACTTGTGGACAATGATCCCTCGCTCCCTTGCTCTGATCTCGCCTCCTTCTGGCCTGTTAAGTGGCCTGCCTCACACAGGGTGACTGGCTGTCCACATGATGTGGCCTGCCGACATGGCCACTGTCATACAGATCATAAATCAAAGCCCTTGATTGGTCTCTGTGTGTCATTCAAGCTCGGGATAACCTCAGCTCAGGTGAGGTGAAGGACTCTCTGAGTGTTTAGATAGTTAACTTAGTCTAAGTTCTCAGTGGGTCTCAAACGGTGGTCATCATTTATGTAAACACATATTTCCATTTGAGAGGGTAGTGATTGGTCTAATGGATAGTGAGGTGGGCTGAAGATCGGAAGGCTGTGAGTTCAAATCCCGCCAGGAACACCACCACTAGTGTGCCCTTGAGTAAGGCACTTAGCCCTTAGTTACTCCAGGGAGAATGTCCCTGTAATCGGTCATTATAAGTCGCTTTGGATAAAAGCGTCAGCTAAATGAAATGTAATGTGATTAGTAAAATATGCATGAATAAATAAATAAAAAGTTAACTAGGTGAAAAAAGGCAAGATACACTTTTAAAACTTGTTGAGAGAAAACTAGTCTTTGCTGCTGCCTCGAAGAGGAGAGGGGGGAGAGGAGGGAGACAGGAGAGGCTGATTCAGGAGCACAGACACACTCACAACTATAAATGATAAATGAACCAAACATTAATTAATAAACAAGTTTCAGTGTTTTTTTCATATTGGAAATGGTATGTTATTGGTTATGGCCATGATTTTATGATTATTGAAATGTATACAGTTCTGTTTAATATAGGTGTTTCCATAGATCTAGTCTCTTTATTTTCCCCTCAAAATGCACCAGATTGATGCATTTAACTCCAAAATAAAAAATTAAATCTTACCGGGGGGGGGCATACCCCTGGACCCCTGGACCCCTGGACCCCTGGACCCCTGGACCCCCCTGAACCCCCCTAGAGGATTTGAGGTCGACCCCCACTAACAATCACATGGATAGGTTCCTAAATACATTTATAAATACATTTATTTTTTAAAATAGTAACCCATTTCCATATGTTCATGTGTGGGTAGTAGATTTAAACTATAGGGCTATCATTATGGGCCCTGCCTGTACCTGTTCGCTCTGCCATCGCGTGAAGGGTCTGCTAACAAGCGACCAACAGAAAGGTTCATGTTAATGTTGTTGCACGTCACGTCACCCCCCCCCCCCCCCCCCGCTACCACCACCCCCCCAAGTATATTTCAGATCTGTGGGAAACACTATGGACATGGACCAGAGGCGTTTTTTTTTTTCTCCGCGCACTCAGGTACGTCAAAACTGTACTTGTTTGCAGCTCGTTACACCACCATTGGTCACAATCCTCCACCAGTTAGCACATTTAGTTAATAAATGATTAGTATTGCAAAAGATGGAGATCCCAAAGTGAGTACAACAGGAAAACAAACACTCCTGAGTTAATCCAGTGTGGTTTTAGCCTAACAAGCCAGCGCCTCCCTGTGGGAACTCTGTCTTCATATCAGATTACACGTCTGGACTTTGACCCGCAGTGAGTGAAGCTGTCATTTTGCCAGAGTCCCCCGTCTGTTCCCAGGTGCACGGAGTCGTCCTTGCAGCAGGTCAGGTCTGTGCTCTGATTAGTAGGGCAGTGGAGTAGTGCATCTCTCCTGGGAATCATCTCTGTTTAGCAGCTCAGAGCTGCTCAGAGCTTCCCTCTCACCTGCTGCTTCAGGAGCTGATTTGAAGGTCTGAGTCACACTGAATAACCTGCTGCTCACTCCAACACATCGTGCTCTGTGTGACTTTAGCTCTCCTTCCTTTCTATTTACTTTTGTGTTTTGTTTATTTGCTCTCAGAATCAAGTTAATTGCCTGGTACGAAACAACATAAGAAAATAAGTTGTAAGAGAAGGTCCAAAATATAACGACTATAAAAAGAAAATGTAAAAAACCATTTATCATTTAAAAGGATAAAGTATTTACACTTAATTCAAATATACAAAAGACACTAACACTTACTACATTGTATATATGACAATATGCCATTTACTTTAATGCTGGAGATGACATATATTTTCAAATTATAGCAAGTGTTATAAATGTTATTATATCAGAATAATGCAAATGTGTCCTAAATCACTCAATAACCAAGACCAATGTTTTTGTTATTTTTCGATGTAAAAATCAATTTAATGGGATTTAAAAAAATCTATCTACAAATATAATACACATTCAATACTTTAATATTAGTAGAGAAACGTGTAATAAATAAAAATACCCAACCTTTGTCTTATTATTCATCTTATCTAAATGCGTTTGAGGCGAATACATATTCTTCCAGAGATATCTGTTTACAAAACCAGAATACTTTGCATAGTTTACAGTGTCTGCACATCCACAGCTGACATCAATCATAGTAACCCTGGCAGATTTACATTCAGATCGTAAATTACCATGCAATCAGATTTCTTGTGTGCATGTAAACACCATCATGTTCTCTTAATAATAGTACAGAAATGTAGGTATTGTATGGGCACTGGTATCAAATAACAATACCCAAACAAATGAATTTCTTCACATTTGAGAAGAGAGTTTTGTTATCAACAACGTTGCTGGATAATCAACTTATCCTATAATCTTTTCACTTGCATGCCAATGAGTTGCAAACATTTCCAGCAAAGACAATATTTATTTATTCTCAGATGAGCTTTTAAAGCTACTGAAAACCCCTCAGACCCTACACCTGCAGAAATGGATAATTTAGTAGCTGAAAAAATGCAATTTAAGGTGAAGCATATTTTCCCTTTTTTCCTCTGTTTACAAAACCCGAGTACTTTGCATATGATATCGTGTCTGAACAGCTGACAACAATCACGATGGCCCTGGCTCAGGTTAGCCAGGTGTTTACATGCGCTCTGACAGATTTACATACAGATCTTAAATTACCATGCAATCAGATTTTCTGTGTGTGCATGTAAACACCGTCATGGTCTCTCCCTCTCTCCTCACTTCATCCCCCCTCCTCTCTCTTTCTCCCTCTCTCCTCACTTCATCCCCCCTCCTCTCCCTTTCTCCCTCTCTTCCTCACTTCTCTCTCAGCGGTGGGTATCCTGCCAGATGAGCGTGAGGCGGGAACAGGAATGCAGCCCTGCTCTGTTTACCTCTTTCTCGTCTTTTTTCTTGCTCTCATTCCTGACAAATTCGCTCTCGCTCTGTGCCACCTCCCTCTTTCCTCTTCCCTCTCTCTCTCTCTCTCTGAGTATGCTCAGTCACTCAGCGCTGTTGTTTCGTGAGGGTGAAGAGCCGGTGGGAAGCCTCTGATTGGAAAAACAAGCGTATGTGCCGGTGCCGGCTCGCCTCAGAGACAAACTAAAAAAACAGCGGAGGGACGCAGGTGCTGTGGATTTTAAACCTGTTCATGTCAAGAGGAGATGGATTTATAGAGCTTGTGAACTTTGGAAGGAATTTACTACACGTGCAAAAGAGATAAACAGATCCTGCTCTGCATCAGGGATGGCTGGTGAAACGGAGGTCTCTGAAATCTCGTCTTGAACACCGTTTGATCTGCGCCGAGAGTCGGAAACCCTGGAAGTTTAATAATTGAGATGGGAGGTTGAGACACATTACGCATGATTTAACAGGCAAAAAGATACAGCTCGGGAAGGTTAACCTCAAAGACATCTGTTTACACCTGAGACGGGAGGGGAAATGACTTGCTGCAGGCTGAATTAAAGGAGTAACCTGTGATGTCAGACCTCACCTGGGGCAGTCGTCTGAGACTCTGCTGAGTAGACTTCATTTCCAGGTGTTCATTTCCCACACCAGACTTGACTCACCTGACATCATCCCCTCCTTGTGTGAGCTCGCCCCTCAGCTCATTTTCTCACCTCATCTCTCGGTAATCCCTGCTCTCAAACCCACCGCCACCTCCTCTCGTTTTCCTCCCCATGGAGCCACTCGAGAGGCAGGAGAACAGACGCTGATTAATGTGACTCCGTGTCTGATTCCACCGCACTAGAAATAGAAAGAAAAAGCGGCAGTACTTGTGAACTATCGTCAACAAAAAGAGGCATCATGTGGAATCAATCTGGATACTGCAATCACATTCCTCATCATGGATATCCCTTCTACCATTCACCCTGCAGGTACGCTACCAAAACTCCAACGTCTGCCAAAAACAATTTGAAATGCTGTTACATCTCTGTTACTTGTTAGGGCTTCTTGTATCTCATTAAGTATTTATTATGTTGGCACTGGGACAAGATTCAGTGCATCTGCAATGAAAGTTAATCTGTTGACGTTAATCTTTGGTGTCCCTCAGGGGTCAATGCGAGTACAACTTCTTTTTTTCCCCCCTGGAATTCACAAGTGCCGTTTGGGACAGTTGTTGATCCGGTTAATCTGATCTGATTCATCCTTGTTCATTGTAAAGTGATCCAAGGTGTTGGAGGGTTTAGTCTTTCCTGAACAGAACCAACTGGTTCATCAGGAATGTAGGTTTGGCCCTCGTTTTAACAGAACCAGGAAACAGGTTTTGCCTGTGTGGCAGAAGAATAAAAGTTAGTGAATGGGAAGGCATGTTTGTATGTCATTATGCATGTAGGCAAACTGTAATTGTTTTCCTAAGAACCAAGGTGTGATTATCCCTCCAAAACACTCCTAGAGTATAAAAGGATGTTGAGTTGATTAGCCATACTGTATTTTTAACAACCTACACTCTATATTGATAATTTCAGATCTTGATAACTATATCAAGATATATAAAGTTTTCTTGTAATTAAATCAATTAAAAGTAATACAAGGCAGGTAATTGAGTACTTTTGATTAAGAAGTTTTAGTGTACAATTGGCACGTTTCACTTCACAAGTTTTTGAATTTTTGCTTATTTTACTTAAAATGTATGTACACTGACTTAATTGTTCAAATTAATCTAATAATAACAGTTTCACTTTGAAATAAAACTATTCTTTAAACTTTTATCTAATGCTTTAAATTATTCTTATTTTTCCTTAGTGTTTCTTTTGTCTACAGTTCAATGTTCAGTTAAGAAGTATGCTAAAAGTAGCAGAAATGCACAATTGAGAATATTTCAATAAACACTTTAATAATGAGGTAATCCCAATAATATCGTTATCTCGATATTCAACGTTATCACATATTTTTCCTCATGTCATGCAGATGGTCTTCTCTCAGCAGCAGTGACATCATTACATTTATCACAAGGTTTCAGATGTGACCCAGTCTCAAATGAGCTCCATCAATCCTCGTTCCCCGAGGGGCGGGCAGACCCCCGATCTCTTTCTCTGTCAGATACTGTAATAGGCTCTAACCTCTAAAGGCTGCTGGAGCCCAACCAACAGAATACTGATTCACCATTACTAGTTATTTATACCATCTCTTAGTGTTTGAGCATAATGAGGACATGTTTTTAAAAATGAATAGGATGATAAATTATGAATATATATTTATGCCAAATATACTTCTGTGCTAGCGTGAATGTGGGCAAGCACATGCATTATATAACATCAGTAGTTGTGTGTTTCTGGATTTATCTATCCATTTGTGCACATGTGATTTTCATTTGTTTATTAACTCGGTTTGTTCGTAGATCTACATTGCTTAAAGAGGCCCTTTTATGGTTTTTGGAGTTTTCTCTTTCCTGTATGTTAAATTGAAAGTGCCTGAATCGCCTCCATTGGAATACTTTGTTTACTTCCGTAACATAATATCATCACAATGTAACACTTGCTTTTCTATTGGCTTGCGCTCCAACACATTGAAAATGATAGGCTAAGGGGCGGGACATCTTTTAAGCGGCTGACCAATCACAACAGAGCCGGCCAGCTAACCAATCAGAGCAGACTGGGCTCTGGTTTCAGACAGAGGGTGAAAAGAGTTGCTGCAGCACAGACAGTATGAGAAAAATAGAACTTTTTGAACATTAAAGCATGGAGACATGTCACAGGAGAGACACTACATACTAATATGAACTTGAAAATTAGCATCATGTCCTCTTTAACACACAAAACTCATGTATTTCAAGCATTATAAGTCAAAGCAAAGATACATGCCATATTGTATGCCTTAAATCCAAAAGCTTTTTTTTTGTTCTGCTTGTATTGCAGTAGAAATACAGAGCATTAGGGGTGGTCTGCACTGGGGGGGGCAGAGGGATTTAGCTGATGAGTGAGTCATACCTCAGACCACTGGGCAGGTCAATGACCTGTCAGATCAGCCAGCTCGTGGCAGAGAGAAAGAGAGAGCGCACAGGAATCCAGGAAATAGCCCTGAGCTCCAAAACAGACTAACCATCGCTACTCACACCCACTCGAGACTCTTATGGTGAAGTGCTCTGACTCACACCGTGAATGTTCCACCCAAAGCCCAATCACCTCGTGAATTAAAGTCCATTTCTGAAATTTGGTTTCTTAAAATGCAGGAGAAACTAACTAGATGGCTTCAGGAGATTTAATCAGCGTTGTATTTATCCTTCTCAGTGCTTATTTTTGCTAACAAATCGGCGTCCTCCTTGTTGCTTCAATGTCATTTGGGCCCCGTTTCCCATCTTGATTTTCAATGCTGTTTTTTTAAATGTACAGTCCTCTGAGGGATTTTCTGCTCACCTGCACTTTCCTCTGCATAGTGGAACATGTACTGCTTAGTAAAATATGGAAGTTAACGCCTACATCATATTGACAAATCAGGGAAATGCTTTTCTGTTTGCCGCTAAGGGAACATTTTTCATAGTGCGAGGAAGCGGACAGCACTGAAATTAGATCCTTTTTTTTCTTTGGAGGAGAAAGCGATAAGGCTGCAATATTGCTTTGTCACTCCAATATAATAATAAAATGCTTCATTTGTGATCCTTCTTCTGATCTGCTATTTTAATAAGAAAGGCTTAAATGATAAGAACACCTCGCGTTAAAAAGATATAAGCACAAGTAAAAAAGACCCTCTTTCTATGAACTCAGTTTAAAGTTCATTGATCTTCCCCCGAGGTCGCTCCAGTTAATGATTCCCTCACCTGTCAACAGTCAGGCCCCGCCCCCTTTTCCTCCACTTAATCCAGTGTGTTTACATTCAAATGACAAAGAGCTTGTTCGCTGGTGGAGGAAGTCTTTAGCCAGACTCCGTTGTTTGGTCCGTTAATCCAGCATAAGCCTGCAGTGTCACTCGACCACGAAGGCTGGAGGTGAGCGAGAAAGCTAATGAAGAACGGCCTGTGATGGCAGAGTATTGATTATATTTCTGTGTGTGTGTACTGTTAATGAAGTGCTTTCCGAGTGGGTGTTTCTACTGTGTTTGATGTATCGATGAAAGGTGTCATTAGGCTGAACATAATGGCTAAGTGCAAGAAATGAACAAGTTATAAATACGTTATGAATGCCCTGTAATGCTTGTTGCTAACATGTAATGCTCAAAGTCGTTTTATGTTGAATAATTTGTATGTATATATATCAGATTTTTAAAACTGTTTTATTTTAAGGATGCAAGAACACAAGAAGAGGTGAAATATTGAATTTAGCATAATATTTCACATTTAAACAGTTTGCCAAAGAGAACCCAACGAACTGAAGGAAAGTGAGTGACAAAGGTCATGACAGTTTCACGGTACGGAGACACCGCAGACATATCAACCTGTGTGCACCACAGTGACCTGCAAACTGGGATTTTACTTTCTATATACTGGACTGTGTGTGTGTGTGTGTGTGCAGGGCTGTCAGCCTCACAACGGCTCAGAGATGTAAATGGATTCGGCTGGTGGCCCAGCAGGAGGTAAATGGAGCAGATTACACACACACACACACACACACACACACACACACACACACACACACCACACACACACCACACACACACACACACACACACACACACACACACACACACACACACACACACACACACACACACACACACACACACACACACACACACACTCTCACACTCACACATGCACCCACACTACCACACACACATATGGCACACACATACAGGCAAAGTGCTATATCATGCTTGTCCTATTCAAAGGCCTAGTCATTTTGTAATGACAACTTCCAACAACTCATAATTGACTTAACATAAGAGCTAATCCTTTTCCAATATTTGGATGGCAGAGTGTGTTTGACCGCCCTTTAATCTCTGAACGTGCACTGAATAATGTGTGGGACCGTTGACACCCAGCAAGAAAATCTATTACAGTGGTGCTATCACTGTCATCTTTACTTCTTCTTCTTCAGGTAATTAAATGACTTTCTTGCTGGTCAGGAATAAGGATGAGCTTTTTAGAGATGAGTGTTCAACTTCATCTGAAGCCAGAGCAGAAATAACTGCGAGGAGAGAGTGAGAGGTAATAACTGTAAAAGGAAGGACACTTTTAATGGTAGGGGTTTTAAAGTAAGTGAGTGGCAAAGACACTGGGTTCAGAGGCAAAGCACTTCATTGACACTTTGGAAGAACAGTCCATAACATGTCTCGTAACATTAAAATGTATGCTCCTGTTTAAAATGTTTAAAACACATTTCATTGTTTTTACATTTTTAATCAGCAAATGACCAAATATTATTCATTTTTATTTGATTCAACTCATTCAATATTAATAATAACAGACTAGGAACAAGAAAATAAAGTCGGGTGAAGTGGGCTTATAAAACAAATCCCTCCGGTGAGTTATCCAATGACAACCTTAATGGTCAAAGTTAATGTTACAAATCCTATAGTGAGATGGCTACACACTTTATGGTAAATGAGTTACAAACGTATAATAAATAATGAATAATAGTATTTTTCATATTTTTGCTTTACTTTGCTTTTTGTCTATTTATGTGTTTCGTAAATATTGTCTTTATTTTAAAACAATTTTTATAATAGCAAGGCAAGTTTATTTATATAGCACCTTTCAACACAAGGCAATTCAAAGTGCTTTACAAAAAATGAAAGACATTAAGAAAATGGCATTTAAAATCAGTCGTTAAAAAGAAAAGCTAATAAAATAAACATTAAAAGAAAAAATACATGGATAAAAGTTACAGTGCAGTTTAAGATGTGAATAATTCAATTAAAAGCAGCGACAAAAAGAAAAGTCTTCAGCCTGGATTTAAAAGTAGTCAGAGTTGACCTGCAGGTTTCTGGGAGTTTGTTCCAG